CAATTCCCTTCAGCCCGTGGGATGCATAAACAGGACTTCTTAACATAGTATCATCCCTTTCTTAAACACATATATCAAGCCAGCTTCTGTACCTGGTGTATCTCCTGGGGACAGGGGCTAGAGAGGTCCACTTACAGAAGAGGTCACTGAGGCTCAGGTAGAGTTACGTGCACAGGCTCACACCGCTGTAGCTCATCACCCTAGAATTTTAAGTTGCATCGATGGTCGAGGTCCTTTCCTTACCCCGTCCACCACGCTGGTTCTCAACAAAGCCACTTGGAGAATCCACAGCATCGCTGTGGCAGAACTGAGAACGATGGGACATGCTGGCGATCCCCAAGCAGTCCAGAGAAGGAATAAGTAAGAACGAAGGCCCAGCGGCACCTGTGTTTGCAGGAGGGGACTGGAGATGTGTGAAGGATCTCACTCGTGAGCCTCTGCATGGAGCCCCTCCCTCTCTGGCCAAAAACTCCAGCTGCAACTGGGCAGGAAGAGTGATCCTGATTTTCAATTCTGATTATAAGTCTGCCCCTTCCAGAAAGCCAAGGCACTAATGAGAAGCTTCCAGAATATTCTCTGACTCAGTGATTTCTGCAATGGCTCTGCTTCTAATTTCTGACTATTATTCATCCAGCATCACACAAAGTTACTTTTCTGATTTCCCCCTTGCAATCTTACAAACTGTGTGAGTCCTGTTAATTCTAGGTTCAAAGAACTCTCTGGCTGAGTTGTGTTCCCAGAGCTTGACTTGTTCCGTGCCCTCCCAAAAAAGGTGAAAAGCTCTTTGAAGGCTGAAAGAATCATACTGTTAGGCTGAAAAAAAAATACAATGCCTTAGAAATATGTCGCACTTTGCAATTTATGATGCATTTTTACTTAGAGAAGTGTAGTTAATCTTCATAATCATCTTGTAAGGCTTTATTATCCTCATTTTTAAAATGAGAAAATGGGCTTGGGGAGTTCACGTGACTCAGTGAGAAGAAGGCAGAGCAGGAACCTGAGCCCAGGCCTGCCTTCTCAGGCAGGTGCTTCTCTCACTAGATACCATCATCACCACTGTCCCGTTCACTTCTGTCAAGAGGGAATGACACTATGCAAAAGTGGATGATGCTGTTGTCTTGAAAATCTCCCAGTGGGGGCCAGCGTTGTGGTGCAGCAGGTTAAGCTGCCGCCTGCAATGCGGGCATCCCAAACAGGCACACGTTAGAGTCCTGGCTGTTCCACTTCTAATCCAGCTCCCTGCTAATGCACCTGAGAAAGCAGTGGAAGAAGACCCAAGTCCTTGGGCCCCTGCACTCACGTGGGAGACCAGGATGAAACTCCTGGCTCATGGCTTCCACTTGCTCCAGCCCCCAGTCCTTGTGGCCAACTGAAGAATGAACCTACAGATAGAAAATTCTCTCTCTCTCTCTAACTATCAAATCAACAAATAAATCTTCTAAAATATCTTTTAAAAAGTCTCCCAGCCAAGAAACTCCATCTTATTTCGGTTCCCGCCTGGGAAGCCTTATTCCAAAGGACCAGCTCCCAGCCATCTGCCAAGTCACCCCAGCAGCTCCACGTTGTCCAGCTGCTTCCTCTGCAACCTCAAGCAGGGGGTCCCCCTGGCAGGCTGGCACAGCTCAGGCAGCCCTGGCCTGCTTTTGCCGCTCTTCCCGCCTATTTCCCAGGCTCCCCAAATGGAACCCAACTGTACTTTTAATCTCTCTTTACTCTTCTGCCAACTTGTTAAGGCTTCCCCACATGCCTCCTTAACTTTAAGCAAATGCTTTTGCATTGCTCTGGGAATACTCTGATCCTTCTTTCCCTTTTCACGTGTTAGTGCTCTGATTTACCGCAGTGTTAGGGAAAGAAAAAAACGCTGAAACCAGCAAACAAAGAAGTCCTTCCTGTTCTATATTGGAGAGTCCAATGGGGGCTCCTGGGGTGCTGGTGATGCTCCGTTTCTGCCTCTGAGAGCTGCTCACTTAGAAAAAGTTCTTTAACTTATGCATATTGGGGCTGGTGTTGTGGTGCAGCGAGTAAAGCCACTGTCTTCAGAGCTGGCATCCCATATGGGCGCTGGTTCAAGTCCCAGCTGCACCACTCCTATCCAGCTCCCTGCTATGGCCTGGGAAAGCAGTAGAAGATGGCCCAAGTCCTCGGGACCCTGCACCTGTGTGGGAGAACCAAAAGAAGCTCCTGACTCCTGCCTTTGGACCGGCCCAGCTCCAGCTGTTGCAGCCATTTGAGGAGTGAACCCTCTCTGTGTCTGTAACTCTGCCTTTCAAATAAATATTAAAAAAAAAAAACAAGTTGTACATATATTCTTCAAAAAGCTCATGGAAAACGTGTTACAGCACACATACACACACACACACACACACACACACACACACAACTATGCATGTATTTAAAAAAAAACTCCACCAAAATAAACACTCTTTTAATTCAATTTTCCATGAACTTCTTTCCATATGCTCTGTAGTATGTATGGTGTTCCATATGCATGCTAGACTTGAATCAAAAATGCCAACACAGCAGTTTGGTGGTGATGACCGAGCCATTCCAATCAAATTTAAGCAAAGATCAAATAACTCTCCAGCAAGCCTGGTATGAAGAGAGTCCTTCTCCGAGAAAACAAACAAACAAACAAACAAACAAACAAAAAAAAAAAAACAAAAAAAGAAGCCATAGTAGATTCCTCTAAGGTGTCTTTCAACTCAGAGCCAAGGCCTGTGGGATGCTCTAAGGTTAACAATCACACAGCAGCCCTAAGAAAGAGCTGTTTTTGGATACCCACAGCAGAAGGAGAGAAAGGATCTCAGTGCCCAAGCCTCTCTGGGCAGGCATTTCCCAAGCAATGCAGGATGTTTTAGGAGACCTGGTCCCCAAGCACAGGGAGAGACACTACATGGCCCCCAAATGACCCCATGGCTCACTGTCACCCAGAACATCTTCCCTTCTGGGTCCCACGCTCCTTTATAAGACTAAAGAGACAAATTTGCGAAGCTGGCGTCTGCTCCCTAACATATCAAGACTTTTCCAGCTAATTGATATACGCCGTAAATCCTCTAAATAGGTTACTTTCAAGGCTGGATATAAATAGATAAACGAATGAGAATTAGCTGACATGCATATTCCTCAAGGAGCCGATCAGTTTAGAGGGACGGCTTGTTTCCCGAGGACACCGTGGGTTTCCTTATCTGCAAATATGTGGATAAGCTGCTCCTTATTTTGGACTGTTCTTCCTTTCTTTGTTCATCTAGAAAAACCCTGCCTACCTTTCGGAGAACAGCTTAACAGCCCTATCTTCAATGAAGTTTTCTGTGGCTGCTCTGGGTGGAGAGGCTGGAGCTTAGGTACACACACCAGCCGATAAAATTTACACCACATTGTCCTACTGTGCGTACTCGAGTGCTCCCAAGGCAGGCTTGGTGTCTTACTCCTGTGTTCATCCTAAAGCCTGGCTTTGTACCTGGTACACAGGAAGTGGTCACATGCCGTCTGGACAAAGGCTCACTTGGTCAAGTGGTTTCTAAGATAACATAAACCTCTCCTCTGAATGACTGTGTATATTAGCTGTATTTGTAGTTTCCAAAAGTAGAAATTTAAAATAGCCAAAATGTCCTGTACTAGGTGGGTATTTAGACAAATGGTGGCTCATCCACACCATCACATCCGACTCCGCGATAACACATGCAATGTGGATGAATGTCAAGGGCATTGTGCTGACCTCGAACGCTCCCAGGCTGTATGATTCCACATACAAAACATTCTCAAAATCATGGCATTATAGATACGGAGAACAAACCAGTGCTGGCTCTGGGTGGTGGGGACAAGGGTGGTGAGTGTGGCTACAAGGCGGTGGCACAACAGAGATCTTTGTGGTGATGAAATTGTTCCATATCTTGATGGCAGGAGTACCCAAATCTACAGCTTTGATAGACTTGATTTATCCTAGTTTTGCTACTGTACTGTAATTATGTGCAATGTAACCAGCAGTGGGGGTGGGGCACGTCCAGCCCTCAGGCCCTGGCAATCATTCCAAGGCAATTGCAGGCGGGACTCGACATTCAATAAATCTATAGCATGCTGATTTTTAAGTTGATCATTTTGTATGGCCCATGAATGACGTGATAAATATCCAAATGGCTCTTGGCAGAAAAAAGGGTACCCCATTCTTGCATTGGAGGAAACTGGGTTCACAGTACATGGGCCCTTCTGTACTGCCTTTGGGACCTATAATTATTTCAAAATGAAAATTTATGCATTTTGATAAAAAAAAACCCTGCTTTCTGCGGTCAGCTTTGCTCTCTAATTGAGTATGTCTGTAGAATAAGTATCTTCCACATTTCTCAACTCTTTACAACGTCAAAATGTTTCTACCTGGATTAAATTACACCATTCCACAACTGCCACGGCTCCAGCCTTATTCCCATTTTACAGAGAGTGACTCCAAACGCAGGGCTCAGTCAAAGGCACACAGGTGGTATGTGACAAAGCAAGCTCACGAGTCTGATGCACTAAAATTTCTACAAAGCTCACTTTTCTCATCTGCGAAACAAAGGCAAGGGGCTAGGATGGCCCCTGGAGGAGCATCCAGGCACGATGCTGTTGGACACGCACACTTTCGGAGCGTGGCTTTTCTACTTCTGAGCTGGCACGAGAATCCCGCGATGTAGACAGTGGACAGGACAGTAACCAGACCTGCCACGGAAGTCCCTCCACCAAAGCTGCAGCCCGGAGGAATCAGTGCTAGACGGCTGCTGGCAGCTCAATGGTGGCCTGAGACTGCAGACTCCCATTCTCCCAAGGCTAAGGACTGTGGGGGTAAGAATCCCAGTAGGCTCCTGGAGCCCCACGTTTCCAGGAGGCCCCTTCTCTCTGGTCGGCTTCTGCTCCTCTGCTTCTATTTCCCCACTCCCCATCTCCTTGGTTTCATTCCATCACAGCCCACTGCCCCTAACCACCGAAAAACACCCTCCATGCCAAGAAGGTGTGCTGTGAGGATGTCTTACCAGATTAGTGAAGATGTATGTGTAATAGGCTGACACCATGCCTAGTTCAGCTGCCTGCAGAGGAAAAGAGAAGGCAATTAGAGAAGAAAAAACAAAACCCACTTAAAAGAAACAAGCAGTGAGGGCTCCAAGCCTCTACCCTTTGGCCCACCACCATCTGCACAGGGCAGAGCAGAACACCTTGACCGGTTCTTCTGGCACCTTGAACTTGGAAGATGCAGCACAGAGAGAGCAGCCTCTGGAGCAGGGTCCCTGGAGCTGCAGCCCGCCCCCTACCCCTGCAGTGACACAGTAGCTGATGTCCCCTTGCACAACACACTCCCATGGATACACCTGGATACTATGGAAACCAATAACGACTTTAAGGGAAATGAAGCAGATAATAAAAGCAGACTATAGTCATCAACTCCACAACAATGGCTAACATTTACCCACTGTTCAGTGCGTGCCTGGCGCTGAAAGCATTCCACCTGGGTTAGTTGATGGGATAAACACTGTTACTGTCCCCACCCCCACACCCCATATTACAGTAGGGGAAACTGACACAACAAAAGGTTCAGGAATGCACAAGGTCCCATGTCTCATAAAAACACAAAGCTAAAGCCAGACAGCCCGATTTCAGTGCTTCCAACCAAACTCCACGCCCCTGGAGAGCCCCTGTAGGCGATCTTGAACCACACACACAACTCTCTGAGGGTGGGAGCCATAGATAAAAGAGAGTCTGCAGGGTGCAAGCAATGCCTAGATGAACTCCACCTGTCAGGAATGCAAGTGAAGCTCGTAAGAGTATCCTTGAGCCTGCATTAATGTAGGCATGGCAGATGATCTGCTGCCGTTGGCCCTGTTATTAACAGTAAGGAACAAGGTGCCTGCGACATGCCTCCCTCTTGATCAAGCACCATGGTACAGCCTCACTCCACAGCTGAGAATTGTGACTTCAGAACACTCTCACTTTTGTCTGATCTCCGTACCCATCATAAATACCCCTAACCAACCTTCCCTGTCACTGTGCCCGGCTTTGAGCCTGACTGGTGCTATAGAAACCGACAAGTAGATCAGGTGAATAATGAGCTCAGTGCTCTCCGGGGCCCTCATCCCTCCTGACAGTCGGTTAGATTTTCATAATGTATCCTGCAGCCCTGGGCCATTGGGAGACCGTTTGTGTCATGACTGTTGAGGTGGCTGGAAGGGGAACAAGACTGGGATAATGGCATTTTCCTCTTGCAGGGTGTTTATCTCCCAAGGAGCTCACTCACTTTGTGAGCATTCTTCCAAGAACTCTGGCAGGCTCTGTGACCCTCCGGATGTGTGTGTGTGGGAAGGGAGGAGGGAGTCTGTCACCATGGGTGCAATGAGAAGCTAACATCTGGGAGCCTAGTGACTGGGTCAAGATGGGGGTGGGCAGTGGAGCTCAAGGCCTCGGGAGGAGCCCTGCTTCTCCTCCCAGGGAAGCTACTTCCCTCTTTCACTCCCATGACCGTGATGGGGCAAGATGGCCACTCTCCCTCCCACAAATCATCAATAGAAAACAGCAGCTGCCACTCCCGCTGTCTGGACCCAAGTGAGCCCACAGCTTGCAGGGACGGGCTGGGAGGGGTACCGGGATGGTTAAAACCCATTTTGTGAAATCTGCTGTCCTAGAGATAAAAGAAAAGAGATCCTTGATTTTTAAGACCTGAATTCTGGGTAAACATGGGAGTTCTTTGCAGGAACAGCCGCTCAATAAAGCAGAGGATTACTCCACAAATCCTCCTGAAGTCAAGAGGCAGCAGAGTGCTGCCAGGCTTGGGGCCGGCTCCAGTATGCGGCTCCCAGAAGCCCCGTGTGAGCTCGGCCCACCCCATTTCCGGTCCACACTTGCCGAGTACCCCCTCCCCCAAGGCCAGCTCTGTGCCCCGACGGGGCAGAACCTGGGGCGCAAAGGATGCCTGAGAACAGAGGCAGGGCCCCAAGAGTTGGGCTGGCGGGTGGGGGCCTCCAGGAAGTGAAGTGAGAACAAAGGGGAGAGGCCCTCCTGAGGCATCACGGCACACTGATCTCATTGATGGGTTTGGCTCCAAGGTCACGGGGCTGGGGCTCAGGGAAGACGGCCTCAGGGCACGCAGCAGAACCTTTGAAATAAGGATCATTACAGGTAGTCTTCTTCCAAAACCATCAGTCACACCCAAAAACCAACCCCCCCCCCAAAAAAAAAAAGCACTCACAAAGCATTTATGATGAAAAGACCCAGAACTGGCAAGGGTGCTGTAAGATACCTCGATGCAGCTGGTGGGGGTGTAAACTCTTACAGCCTTACTAAAAGGCAATCTGGCAACTCAGCCCAGCATCCTTAAAGGCAAATCATATCGCCATCCTTAGAAGTATGCACACCTTTAACTCAGTAATTTGACTTCTAGAAATTTATGCGAAGGAAATATTCATGAATGTGCATAAAGATTGATGCACAAAGATGTGCATCCCAGCTTTATTTATTGTAGCAAAAGATTGGAAACAACCTGTTTCCCTACCAATAAAGTGATGGTTACATAAATTACGGGACACCCGTATGATAGGAAATGATGCCGACATTAAAATATTTGTAGAAAAAATATTTAATGACATGGGGGAAATGCATGGCATATAATTAAGTGGGAAGAAAAGCAGCTTACGGAAAAGTTTGTGCAGTGCAATAATAATTTTGGGAAAATCATGTCAAAAGCAGAAAGGATAGACATTAAAATTTAATAGTGGTTCACGCTGGATGATGGGATTGTGAATGGATTTTCTGTTCTACGTGCTTTCCAAATTTTTAACAATGAACTGGCCATGTTATTTATTTTTATTTATTTATTTATTTGAGAGGCAGAGAAAAATATAATCCCCATCTGCCAGTTTACTCTTCAAATGCCTGGGCTGAAATCAAGATCTGGGAACTCAATCCAGGTCTCCCAAGTGGGGAGCCTTCTCGGCTGTCTCCCAGCGTCTGCATTAGCAGGAAGCTGTAGTCAGGAGCCAGAGCCAGGAATCGAACCCAGACACCTGCATGTGGGATGCAGGAGTCTTAACCAGCATCTTCACAGCAAGGCCAAACACCTGTGCCTGAGCTGGTGCTATGATGGGGAGGAGGAGGGGAGGAAGGCACTCAGCCAAATAGGCTAGGAGCCACGGAATACTCCAGAGCAAGGAGCCGCCCTCACAAAGGCTCTGCCTGGGGCACTTCTCCCTAAGCACCAGCCCGCACCGGCTGTGCACTGCTAACTGACCCCACAAGGGGGCTGGAGGGACACCGAGCCACCCAGCTGAGGCTCTCACTTCCTGATCCTCACCTTCCCTAAAGAGGACCCGATCAGCCTGTATCCCTCGGCCTCTGAAACTTAGAAGTTTCTCTATCCTTAATAACTTCATCGATTACAGCTCCAAACAGAAGAGAAAAAGGAAGAGAAAAATTCTGTGTGTGTGTGTATGCGTGTGTGTGTGTGGTGTGTGGCATCCACACACAGACAGATGTGGCTTTGGAGCTGTGGCAAGTTACTATAGCAACAGGCGGAAGGGACAGCTCCGGGTACCGAGAGAACTCATTCAAATCTCATATTAACTCTGAGACAAAAACGGGCTGGGGAGCGGTGTGGAGGAGGAGGGAGGGAGGGTTGGAGGGAGGGAGGGCCCATCCCGGGAGCCTCTGCTGTGCTCCTCACAGCTGGGTGGGGTTAACGAGCCGCCATGTGCCCCCAGCAGAAGGTGGCAGGATGTGTTTAAATGAGCAATTAAAGTGGCATTAGAAGAGGCCAATGCACCCCAGAGAAGCCCAGGGAGCTGCCAAGGAGGAGGAGCTGTGAGGAGCAGAGCTGTGGACCAGAGGCCTCCCTGCCTGAGGTTGCAGGCCTGGCCCGGCCACCAGCCCACGACTGGTGCCAGGCGACTCCAAGGCTGCCCAGCTGTCTGTCCATGGCTGTTTGTCCAGCGGGGGCTCCCAGGCACCTGACCTTTCTCTCTTGGCTCAGCCTCACTCCCAGAGTTTCCATATGTTTGTGTGCACTTGGATTCCAAGGCCGGGCCTTGGACAAGCTGGTTCATCTCCCGGATGGAGATATCATACCCACCTCACGCCATCCCAGGGAGGACCACATCGGCAAATTCCCCAGGGGAACATTTGGTCAACTGCTGCTCTCAGTGTCAGGATGGAAGACAGGGCTGAGAGTCAGCAGTGTACCCCCGTGACTGCTCTGCTTGTCAAATATGGGGACCACTTGGCAAACAGCCCCTGCAGCACCCCTACTCCGAACCCTGGACTCTCCCCCAGAGCCTGGCCTGGCTTGCCCTGCTGCACCGAGTGCCAAAGATCTTTACAATGATCACTGCCCCGCTGCTTGCTCCTCTCAGCTGTCAGGTGCAGTTCATGGAGATGGACACACAGGGAGAGGTGAGGGTTCAGGTCCAGCCCAGTGTCCCAGCAGCCCAGGCTGAGGAGGACAGTGCGCAGGACAAGGAGGGAGGGGGAGGAGGAAGGATGCTCCCGGCAGCACCCGCCCTGGCCCGGCCCCCACCTTCAGGAGGATGGTGTGGGACATGGAGGCGTTGGCGTGGATGATGATGGTGGCCGTCTTGTCGTCCCGGATCTCCTTGAGGAGTGGGGTGGGGTCCCGGGTGTCATCCAGCATCCGGACCGACAGTGTGTCCTTGGAGATAAGGAATTGCCGTAGCAGCTTCTCTAGGTTTAAAAGGCCTGGAGGGGAGAGAGGAGGAAGCCCTGAGGGTCCACAGAGCTGCCTCCGGGGACACTTGGGGAAAAAAAAAAACAAAACAGGGCCTTTGAGCTTTGGGACAGAAGCTGGCAGTGGGGCTGCTCCGGCGATTGGGGCTGCAAGCCGCAGCACAACCAGAACAGGTTCCTCTGCTTCTCTGAGCTAGTGATTCCATGGAAAAGGAAAAGAACGCCCCGAAACTCCTGTCACCCCCCTACACACACACACACACACACACACACACACGCATGCGTGTACACACACATACACACACTGCCTCTGAAGAGCATTGTGTCTCCTGGGCTGGGCCGGGTGCCAAGGGAAGTGCCATTCCCTGGGGGGTGACACACCCAGGCATGGAGGCCACCAGGCTTGGGGCTCCTTCCTGGATTCCAGGACCTTTCCTTGTGGCCAGTGGTCTTGGCCTGCGCTGCCCGTGCTGCAGGGGCGTGGCGAGGATCCCAGGAGGCAGCACGGGCAGTGCCCAGCCATGAGGCTCAGGCCCAGAAGAGCCGCACCCCGGCTCCCCGGAGCTCTGCTTTCCTCCTGGAGGTGGGGCAGCGACCCCCTCAAGATCCCGAGGTCCAGAAAGCCGGTCTAGCACAGCGCTTCGCACTCAGAGACAAGGGATTGTGATCATCACGGAGAACAGGCTGTGAACCGCTCTCCCGCAGGAAAGAGTCTGGGCCCTAAACAAAACGAGAAAATAGGACGGAGCAGGAGCAGGAGCGGAGGCCCCTCCCCTCCCTTCCTGTCTGCTGCTGAGGGGCCCTGGCAGGAGGAGAGCCCTGGAATTCTGCACGACTGGGGGAGAGGGAGGGGGCTTGTGTGGCAGGAGGGGCCCTCTCCAGGGAAAGCAGCAGACTCCATTCCAGCGGAAAGAGACCCGCAGCCGTTTGCTCCCAGAAGCAGCAGCGAGAGGAACACGTTCGGAACTCTTACCGTGTTCCGGCTAATGTGCTCAAACATTTTACAAGGCTTATCTCATTGACGTCTTCACAACAATCCCGTAAAGTATTGTAATCCCTAGCATACAGAGAACAAGAGGCAAGGAGAATGAGCAACGCTTTTCAAACATCGGAATACAGTGGGAAGGGGCTGGATTTCCAACCAGCTCAAGGCCTCCACGCTCCTGGTTTCTGCACCGGCTGCTGGGACACTGAGCCTGGGCATACTCAAATACAAGCCAGGAGGACTGCCCCCTGCACACATCATCCACCCTCCTGACCCCTGGGCATTGAAAAGCGCTGCCTCCCTGCCCCCCCCGGCTGGGTCACACAGAGACACAGGGACACAGCCGGGACCAAAGTCCCTGGTTTCTGATCTCCCTCTAACCCTCGGACCCAGGCTGCCTCATGGGACGAACCCAGCAGGAGGCAGCAACCACAGTGCTCAGGGAGACCCAGCAAGGACCCAAAGCCTACACTAGGTGTGCAGGGAGAACAGAGTTGGGTCAAAGCCCAGAGTGATGAAAAGAGGCGCTCTGGGAAGGAGCTGGAGACTGTGGCAGAGAGGGGAGAAGCCCTCAGAGGGCCTACTGTTTACAGTGCAGCCACGGAACCTACAACTTGGAGTCGGCCTTGACAGAGGCTGCGAAAGTTCCACCTGCATCTGTGCCCCCAGCATCCCTGGCCCTGGCCGTGCGGGGGCACTTCCTGCCCACCCTGATCCACAAGATCTGCATTCCAGCTCTGGGTCAGCCTCTTTGGGGCTCCACTCTTCATCTCTGAAATAGGTCTCAGAGATGAGAAGGCATGCTGGGAACTGGGACGTACAGTCCCCTCTTGTCTCGGCTCTTGTATGTACTTAGCCCCAAAGGGCAGGCGCGGGGAGGCAGCGTCTCCCATGCAGCATGGGAAATAAGGAAAGCTCATGTCTGCTCTACCAACTCTCACCAGTGCGTGCTGGGTGCCAGGCAGAGATGGGTGGGACACGGGACTCGCAGCTTTGTCTCTAGAACAAAGTTCAGCTCACTTCTGTTGGCCTGGATTAGTCTGGTTTTCCATGGGACGGCCTGATTTTTGTTCTGTCTGTAAAATGGAGGGTGTCTTCTCTGTACCTTCTTCAAAGATGCTGCAAAGAACAGAGCCCCGCCTGGACAAAGGCGTGAGCACCTGGCCCCAGAGGCCCTAACAGGGTGGATGGGGCAGGCCATGGAGCTGGCACTCCCAGAGTCTAAGCCATTTCCCAGGAAGGCTGTGGGTGTAGCAGCACTGCAGCTGGAGCGGAAAACAAGGGGGGGGGGTGGAGGAGAACCCCACGGGTCCTGGTGCAGAGCTCAGGGAAGCTTTGAAGCCTGGCTGGGGAAGAGGCTGAATCCCCTGGGATTCTTCAGATGGGCAATGAAATTCAGTGGGATGGAAGCTCAGAAGACGACGGCAGAATTATGCACAGCATGGCGATGCCTGACAAAGGCAGCCCAGGGATACCTTATCCCTTCAAACCTGGCAGGTGCGCTGGGCTCCCAGGGAAGGAAAGCCCCTGGGTATCAGATAAACTGGCCCCCTGCTCCCATCAGTCCCCAGTTCCCAGTGTTCGGCTGCTCTGTAAACAAGGAGCAGAATGGCTTCCAAATTCCACCAAAACTTTGTGCGTGCTAAGAGGCAGGATGGGGACAGGCTAGGGCAGGGGACAAGGGCAGCCAGCCCCACAGGACCTCAGCATCTCATCTTTTTTTTTTTTTTTGACAAACAGAGTGGACAGTGAGAGAGAGAGACAGAGAGAAAGGTCTTCCTTTGCCGTTGGTTCACCCTCCAATGGCCACCGCGGCCAGTGCGCTGCAGCCGGCGCACCGCGCTGATCCGATGGCAAGAGCCAGGTACTTATCCTGGTCTCCCATGGGGTGCAGGGCCCAAGCACTTGGGCCATCCTCCACTGCACTCCCTGGCCACAGCAGAGAGCTGGCCTGGAAGAGGGGCAACCGGGACAGAATCCGGCGCCCCGACCGGGACTAGAACCTGGTGTGCCGGCGCCGCAAGGTGGAGGATTAGCCTAGTGAGCCGCGGCGCCGGCCTAGCATCTCATCTATCGGCGGGTCCTTCCTCTTCCTAACCTGGCTGACACCTGAGGCACCAGAGCACACAGGCAGGATGTGAACGCTGCCACCTGCAAGGCTTCCTCGGTACCCAGCGCCCACCCCTATCCGTGCTTCTGTATCCCTGTCTGTGAAATCAGGAGCTCTTAAGAGGATGTCAAGTATGTTGCTGGTGTCTGTCATCTACCAGGGGCTCGACAAACCTTGTGGCCTATTTGTCCTTGAGCGTCTTTCACTGAATCCCCTCCCAGAAGCCACCTCTCTACTCCCCTGCCCTCTCCACTTCTCACGTCGCCCAACTCTTAAGGGATTTGTTATCCGACCCCATAAAGAAAGCCCTGGTTGTAAATCCTACAAGATATCTGATCACACACAGATGCGCCTCGATTTATAATGACATCACATCCCCATAAACGCACTGTAAGTTGAAAATATCATAAAGTCAAAAATGCACTCAATGTACTCTCTACTGAATGTGTACAGCTTCTGCACACCCTAAAGTAGGGGAGAAACTGTAATCCCCACCTCAACTCAGGGACCATTTGTAATCACATGCATGTATGTATATGTACACCTTTGTGTGTGTGTGTGAGTACACATACATGACGGGAATTCAAAAAGTTCATAGAAAATGGAATTAAAAGTAAAATTATTTTGGCGTGAAAATATTTTGAAATCTTTGCCTAGCTTTTTCATGATTTGCACTTCCATGAACCTTTTAAGGACTCCTTGCATTCACTGATTTCAAAAGTTTTTGCACCTGAACTCGTCTTTTAATTCCATTTTTGATGAACTTTTTGAAGTGCCCTCTACATAGTTGAAACACATGCATGAAGTATTTCGCAGTGCTAAGGAGGGATCCCGTTCTAAACTTCTCTGCACATTCCCTCTGCATGGTGCCCATGGACTGGACTTGGCTAGAGCCTGTGAGGGAAGAAAGAGACTTAGCATCTGCAGGTGCCAGAGGAGCAGTGGGGCCAGCAGGACTGTCACCATGGCACCGGAGGAGCCTGGCTCGAGGGAGCAGAAGAAGGGCAGTCACAAGGACTCACCCAGGGAGCAGCAAGTGAGAGGAAATCATGGGGAGACCGCTTACAGCTGAATACTAGAAGAACCTTCTCTTTGAGCTGTCCAAAGAGGCAGTGGGCTGTTCAGGAGGTAGTGAGCTCGCTGTTGCTGGAGGCAGTCAAGGAAAGAACAAAGCTCCTCTTGACCATTGTTACAGAAGGAATTCAACCAGCAGATGGAAAGCTGAACTAGAAGAGCCATGTGTCTTTCCGGCCCAGAGACTCCCTGATTGTATGAATCAGAAGAAGATAACTTTTGCAATTCTAGGCAGTGGAAGCAATTTGCAGAGGAGAGAAGCGTGGTTTCGTCGCATGCAGAGTATTAGCGTGTCAGTGTCGTCTGGCCTTTTCCTGTTCCCCTCACCTCTGCCTAATGGGCTTGAGGGGTTTACCCAAGGCAGTTGCCACCACAGGGGTTAAAAGCTACTCTCTTCCCTGGCACCACCCCAGCCTCGTCTCCTGCGGGACGCAGGCCCAGCAGCAGGTCTGCCTGCCAAGTCTGGGGCTGCGAGGGACCTGGGGAGCCTATTAGTCTCGCTCAGGATGCAGCGGGCTGGATCGATGAGAGACTCAGCAGGCCGGCTGTTTTGGGAGGAAGGAGGGAGGCTGGTGGCTGCAGGGCAGGGGAGTCCTGCGAGGTGGCAAAAGGCACAGCCAGGTTGGACAGAGCTGCAGAACAAGGGCACAAACACCTAAGCGATGGGTCTGCAGGGCACACAGAGGACCCTGGCTTCAAAACAGCCAAGAAAACACCTGTCTCAGCGGGCCTCCCTCCCTCTCGCCCAGCGGATGCCCTTGGCATAATGCTTTGGCCCCGGAAAATGCTCAGATTCCCAGCAGCGCTTTAAGTCTTGTGGGAGGCACAGGTGTACGTGGAGAG